GATTTTCACCAAATTTTAAGTATTAACTTCTTGAATGAATTCGCTCGGAAGTGCAACATTTTACTCACTTTGGGCGGAAATTAGCTATTTGGTGCATAAGCTATATCCAAATCTGAACCGAACTTGATAAAATTTGATCTATGAATTGCTAGATTGTATCTGATATCCGCTGCTAAATATCAGTCTTGTGGAGTGCAAATAACGAATTTAAGGGACTTACACCAAAATCGGATGATACATATATATGGGAGCTATAGCTATATCTGAACCGATTTTCACCAAATTTGAAGCAAATGCTTTTAGGCTAAATGTAGCAAAATTCACAACATATGGACTGATATTAGCCATTTGGGCCACAATAAACCTGAAATCGGTCGAAGATACATATGGGAGCTATATCTAAATTTGGACCGATTTTCACCAATTTCAATAGGGTTCGTCCTTTAACGAAACAAATGTTATTTAGAAAATTTTATCTCAATCGAATATTAAATGCGACCTGCATTTTGTTTACAAAAATACATGGACGGACAGATAGATGGGTTGTCGTACGGACAGACGGGCGGACATGCATAAATCGACTCAAAATGTGATCCTATGCTGGTCACCAAAATTAACTATGTGTCTATCTCCTTTCCTTCTCCATGTTACAAACAAATGCACAAAGACATAATACCCTTAACAATATGTGGTGTAGGTTATAAAAATGTGCATATTATCATGGATATGCAAGGCAAGGCAGGTTGACCAAATTTGAAGAGCACAACGCTGAAGCTAGAATCTTCTCTCTATAATAATGACACACAACAAATGTATATTTGGCACTTTCTCACAGTCTCATATTTCCTATTTCCTTCCCTATTTTAATAACATACATTTTAGGTGCACCAAATGTAGTATGGAGGGTATCATAGAATCCAAAAAAGTGCAAGAACTTAAACCACAACAGAAAGAAAATAGACTCAAAAGAGCTATAGAGTTACTTCGCTTGGCCGAAAGTGGTAAACTGCCGAATTTGGTTTTCTCCTGTGAGGAAAGATTCGTTGTCCAGCATTTTGTAAACAACAAAATGATCGTGTTTACTTGCCAAAGAGGTCAGCTGAAAACGTGTACCTTCGGTTTGTCACCAGAACTCAATCGCCGGCCATGGTGATGGTGTGGGCCGCAATAACAGCCGTTGGTCGCTATCCGCTCGTATTAATCGACCGTGGCATCAGGATAAATGCCCAATTTTATCGCAAAAATATTCTGGAGGGTGTATTAAAGCCTTGGGCACACAAATATTTTGGCCGCAGACCTTGGACATTCCAACAGGACTCAGCACGCCCCTCTCAAGAATGGTTATAAAATGAGGTTACTCGCTTCATTTCCAGCCCACAATGACCACCAAAATCTCCGAATACCAATCCGTTGGACTATTGTGTCTGGAGTATTTTGGAAAGCAAGGTTGGCACTAAAATATACCAAAGTGTCGATCACCTCAAGAAAGCGCTTCACCGGGAATGGCCAAAATACCGCAGAGCAACGTTTAAAGGCCATAATTCGTGCCAATGGTGACCAATTCGAACAAATCTAAACTTATTCTAAAATTTCATGCTATTTCCGACATTTTTTGCTTTTATTCAATAAAATGTAAAAGAAAAATGTACAAATTATGCCGTTTGACTTTGTTGCAGTTTATTTATCTCACCCTGTAGTGGTAAGGGCATTATGTTTGTTTGTAACATCGAAAAGAAAGCGAGATAGACCCATAGTTACTTTGAGGATCTTCATAGAATCATTTTCTGAGTCGATTTATGCATGTTAGTCCATTTATCCCTCCGTTCGTCTGTCCATGTATTCCTGTGAACAAAATGCAGGTCGCAATTATTATCTGATTGAGATGACATTTCGCAAACAATATTTGTTTGGCCCAAGCACGAACCCTATTGAAATTTGCGATAATCTGATCAGACTTAGATATAGCTCCCATATATTTTCAACCGGTTTCGGGTTAATTGTACACCAAATGGTCAATATAAGTCCAAATGACCTGACTTTTGGCAAATCCTACCGAATTCAATGTAGAAGCAAGTAAATCAAATCGGTTTAGATATAGCTATAGCTCATATATATATGTTTCATCCGATTTGGTTACAGTCCAAACGTCTGCCAAATTTTATCGACATCGGATCATATTTGGATATAGTTCCCATATATATCCTCAACCGATTTCGGGTTAATTGTGCACCAACTGTCCAATATCAGTCCAAACGTCCTGAATTTTAGTACATCCGACCGAATTCAGTCTAGAAGCAGTACATCAAATTTGGTGCATATCGGTTCAGATATAGCTATGGGTCCCATATATATGTTTGATCCGATTTGGTGTTTAAGTCCCTCCAGTCCAGAAATACGTCTGCCAAATTGAATCGAGATCGGATCAGATTTGAATATAGTTCCCATATATATCCTCAACCGATTTCGGGTTAATTGTGCACCAAATGGCCAATATCTGTTCAAAAGTCCTGAATTATGGTACATCCGACCGAATTCAGTCTAGAAGCAAGTACATTAAATTCGGTGAAAATCGGTTCAGATATAGCTATAGCTCACATATATATATTTCATCCGATTTCTAAGAGACATACATGCGTAATATGCACTCCAAAAGCGTGATATTAAGTACCAGATATCAGATACGGCCCTGAAATATCTCTATCAAATTTTATAGAGATAGGTTCAGATTCTTATACAGCTTCAGTATACATCTTCATCCTATTTTTCGGTTATTGCTCACCATATAGGTATCGGCCCAAATTGATATCTATATATATCTATGGCTCCAATAAATATTGTTTAATATAATTTTTATCGAAGTCATACCATGCACTATACATCAATTTTTTTAGGTTCATAGTTGGAATGATCTACATCAAGTAGGTTGATAGAAATTTACTAAAATGTATATCATGTTGTAATCACGCTATATTTCGAACAAACTGAGATAGGAGGCTAAAATTTGCAAACATGTATATTTTGCAAGTAGGCAGGTTAAGTTCGTAAATGGGCCATGTAGGTCCACGTTATCATATAGCCCCCATATAACGGTACCTCCCGATATTCGGTATTTTGATGATTTTAGCGACATTATTCACCGGAATTGTTTTGAATTTGGTGTTTAAAGTTCGTAATGAATACTACAGCCTAAGGCAAAAAATTGTCTATGCAGGTCCTCGTCTTAGTAGAGCCCCCATATAAGAGTACCTCCCGATATTCGGAATTTTGATGAATTTAACGACATTATTCACCGGAATTGTTTCGAATTTGCTATTTGAAGTTCGTAATGGATACTACAGTCTAAGACAGAAATTGGTGTGTGCAGGTCCTTCGTATAGCCCCCATGTAACGGTGCCTCCCGATATTCGGTATTTTGATGATTTTAAAGTTTCGCTTTTGAATATTGTAATGTCTTATGACAAAAGTTGCCTTTGCAGTTCCACCTCGTCGTATAGACACTAATATAACGGCTACATTCGGTATTTTTAAGATATTAACGGAATTAATTTTTTTGAAAATTACCAAATTCGTTCCAAATGGTGGGGGTATTCAAACTTCGGCCTGATTGGTTTTTTGATTACTTTATTATTCATCGTTTGAATTTTTAACAGAATGGTGTCAAATTTTGTACTGGTCGTACTAATGATAATTATTTTATCTGGCAGAAAAATATCGAACGTAGTTTCTTTTACTTGCTCTACCATATGGTCGTGGTAAATCGATTGAGGTAATATACTCTTGGACCCTAACTTTTCAAAATTCTACACCACATTTTGGTAAAGTTATTAGCACTATCCAACGATGCCATCATAGATATTTTGGCTAAGAATTACATGTTGTCTAAGAATTATATGTTGTCCCCAATTTATTTAAGTTAATATGCATAGTTAAGTTTATATTGCCGAACGACTTTGCCAACAAGTAATTCCCTTTGAGGCAGCTAACAGGGCAATAAATATAGAAATACGTTACATTGTATTTGGTTGTAAAATTATATAATCTGCACTGGCATGTCAATCACCGGCAATCAGACAAAATGATGTTGCAATAGCTGACCCTTTTCGGATCGTGCAGTTTTTATATAAATGCTTAATCAAACACTATTCTCCACATCAAAATTCTTGTCACTACTTATTTTTATTACCAAATCGTGATTTATGTTGTGCGTGTACACTTTTTTTGTCAGAAGACAAGACAAAACGCACCCACAAACGAACATATAAAAGAGAATATGTCTGGGATAAGGGAAGTATACAAGCGGTACCTTGTGTCAAGGTGAACAAGCTGTTCCCACAGAGTGTAGTCTGACCCATTTAACCGAGTTAGTTGAGTGGACAAGGTTAGCTTGGAAAACACTAACTGTGTTTTTTTTCTTGGTTTCCATTTTTATGGCGCAAAGGAAGTGTTAACCTTCAACTGTTAACTAACTAAGCAACAGTTAAACTGCATAATCTGCTGTTAGGCAATGCTGTTGGTATTTACCCAATAAAGTTTATTGACATTTCTGGCTTTGCTTCGTTCCATCACATCGACCAGCGACAATTAATAAATTTGTCATGGCTTTCTTTAGTGACGTTTGCCGCTACTGTGGCCAACAATGACCAATAAACTAGACGTGCCCACCGCAGCGAACAGTTAGTTATTCGCAACGCTGGCATGGTTTTTGTGGTAGTTAAAACGTTACGATTTGGTTTTGCATTTGTATAAACCTATACTTAATTATGCCGGTCACATAATCGATGCGTAAGTTTATATCACTTTCATTGTAATTTCGATTTCATTGCACCGCATATTTTACACAATTGCCATTTTTTTTTTTTTTTTTTTGGTTTTCGGAATTACTTACAACTAACTAAGCCAATCAGCTGTTCTGCCCGGCAAAGAAATTGGCCAAAAATATTATGGTTTTGGTATATAAATGCGAAGGTGTTTCTGGTCAACTATTCAGTTTAGCACTAAACGTTAAACAACAAAAAAGAAGAGTTCGTTCAAAGTTAATTTGTGATTTTTTAAATTGGGATTAAAAATCTTAAGCGTGAAATCGTAATAATGAAGGTACGCCCCATGCAATGAATAAAGCTAAATCGAAATATTGTGAATAATTTCAAAATTGAGACGAATAAATGAGTGAAATTCGAAAATGTTAAAAGGAAGCTTAAGTGGCTGTGGGAGTGGAGCAGAAAATAAACAACAAAACTAAAAAAGGATATCTATGGAGAACAACACACATTGAAGCGGCGAAGCAAAGTGTAACCCAATTGTTTTTGTGACAAAATCTATATTTTTCAAACGAATGAAAAATGGACATCTGCTATCCTGTTCCTTTGCCGAAATTGACCATTTTTAGTTAAAAGTTGATCAAACACCAATATAAGAACATAGATAATCGAAGAACTCAATAATTCAAAATTATATTGCTCATTTACTCTAAGAGTTTTATAACTCAAAACAAGTATTTTTGAAGTTATCAATGCAGAGTTCCAGTCAACATTCTACACCATATTGTGTAAAAATTTCATGAAAAAAATCACAAGAAAAATTGTCCTGTTTAATCTTGCATATATTGCAAGCTGCAATTTTTTATGTACGATTTAAACCAAGTTGGTTAAAAAGTATATCGGAAGGTATCGTTATATGGGGGCAATACGAAGGCGTGGACCTGCACATACAATCTTTTTGTCATAGGAAAAATACCAAATTTAAAACATTTCCGATAAATAATGTCGCTTAAATCGCCAAAATACCGAATATCGGTAGGTATCGTTATATGTGAAGACGTGGACCTTCACAGATTATTTTCTATCATAAGCTTTGGAGCCCATTGCGAAATTCGAAAAATTCCAGTCTATAATGTCTCTATAAATTATATAGGGGCTATACCTAGACCTAGAAGAAGACCTAGACATATATGTGCAATTTTCTGTCATAGGATATAGTACCCATTAGGAACTTAAAATTCCAAATTTGAAATATTTCCGGTGAAAGTGTGACACAAATCATCAAAATCCCGAATATAGGGAGGTACCGATATACGTAGACCTGGTCCTGCATAGACTATTTTTATCACAGGCTGTAGTATCTACTAGCAACATCAAATACGAAAATTCAAACAATTTCGGTGAATATTGCACCTTAAACCGTCAAAATACCGAATATAGGGAGGCCTATACAAATTTAGGGGGACCTATACGAAGACCTGAACCTGCATAGACAATTTTCTGTCATAGACTGTAGTTCCCATTACAAACTCTAAATATGCTAAAATCGTCAAAATATCAAATATTGAGAGTCTTTCGAGAAGTTACAAACGGGATGACAAAGTGAATATACCCTCCATAGTATGGTGGAGGGTATAAAAACAGAGCATTTATTTAATCCCTAGGTTGAAAATTTATTTTGAAAAAAGATTTTAACGTTAGTCTAAATTTTGGAATCTTGGAGCAAATGTTCAAATAGAAAGTTTAACCATTTTTTTCAAATTATCATAAATTTTAAATATCATCAATATTACAAAAGCTTAAATTTTAACCCTCTTCCATTCCAGGTCTTCGCATGTGTCGTAGCCCTTGCCTTGGCTGCCACAGCCCAAGCTGGTCTCCTGCCCCATCATGGTGATGCTCATGTAATTGATCATGGTGTTGTTCATCATGGAGATGATTTCCACCATGCCGATATTCACCACAGCAATGGCATTCATATCGGACATTCCGCCCAGGTAATCGTTGACGATCATCATCATGGCGTTGATCATCATCCCGTGTATCATCACACCGAACATCACGCTGCCGTTGATGTTGTTCACCATGATGCTGGCCACCATGGTGTAGCAGCTGTTGATGTCCACAATGCACCGGCTGCCAAGATTATCCATCATGAACCCATTCACAAAGTGGAACCTGTACACCATGTCACCAAGGTGGTGCATCATGAACCTCATCATTTCTTGCACTACACCAAACCAGCTGTCGACCATCATGTTGTGCATCAAAATCATCATGTCGATGAACATCATCATGCTTCCGATTTGCATCACACTGAATTGCATCATGGCGATGCTGCTCATCACGGTGATTTGATCCATCACGGTGATGTTCATCATGTCGGTGCATTCCATCATTCTGGTTTGGTGCATCATGCCGATGCTCATCATCACGCCGCTGTTGTCCATCATGGGGATGTTCATCATCATGCTGCTGTTGTCCACCATGCTGATGCTCATCATCACGGTGCCATTGTTCACCACGGACACGATGTCCATCATCATGCCGCATTGGTGCATCATGTTCCAGTTGTCCACCATCACAAGGCCATCGTTCACAAGGTGTACCCTGCCCATCACACCCACTCTGATATCTTGGCCATTGCTAAGCATCATTTGCACGGCAAGTTTGGCAAAGTGAAGATAACCGAAACCCATTATTAAACGATTTCAACTCCCTCCAAAGAAAAACCAAAACCCTTCCCCTGCAAAACAAATATCCCCTCTTCATAACTGTATTGTTTTCACATTCATAATTTATTATACGAACGAACTCTCATCGCCAATCCAAAATGAATATCTATCATAATTTCATTCATGATCACAGATCATTCAAAATCGTATTACTATTGTGTAAATAATTTCCCATTTTAGAAAAATAATTAATAAATTATACAAAAAGTATTATTTTCGAAATGTTATTGTTTTTCATTTATGTTAATATTTTTAAATCGACGTCAACTGTAAATAATACGAGTATGCCAGATCTAAGTTAATGTCAACTTTTAGGCTTCTCTAATCGACTTCAACAAAAATAAGTAAAAAACCAGCTAAGTTCGGCCGGGCCAAACTTTCAATACCCTTCATCATAGGGACTGATTTTAGGGCTAAGCAGAAGCCTTCCAATTTGGATGGTCATCAGATAGTATTTAGACGTTGAAAAAAATTTGGGGTAAAACGAAAATGAAAAAATCGAAAATTTGCCTTAATCCGTGAATCCCGGCGAAATCAAAAATACATTAAAAGGTCGCTTCTGACCATTACAGTAAAACTGATAGCCAAAATATCTGATATTTGGCAAAGTAGGTATAGTCTAAATGTAAAAGAAATTGATGATAGTTATTCCGCTTACAAGGCAAGAACCACTGATTTTAACAATTCTCACCAATTCGGAAATATCCCTTGCCAGACAAGGATAAAATCTAAGAAAAACGCATAAAAATATGCCTAAAAAAAGTGAATATTTTTATACCCTACACCACAAGGTGGTCAGGGTATTATGTCTTTGTGCAGTTGTTTGAAACAGGCAAAAGGAAACGAGAAGAAACTATGGGTCTCCTTTTGGTGATCTGCATAGAATCCCTTTCTGAGTTGATTTATGCATGTCAGTCCGTCCGTCTGTACATGTATTTTTGTGAATAAAATGCAGGTCGCATTTATTATCCGATTGAGTTGAAATTTTCCAAACAACATTTGTTTGGCCCAAGGACGAACCCTATTGAAATTGGAGATAATCGGTAAAAATTTAGATATAGCTTCCATATATATCTTCGTCCGATTTGCATTTTATTGTGCACCAAACGTGTAATATCAGCCCGAATAGTATGGAATTTCGCACATACAACCAAATTAGGCCTGAAAATGAGTATGCCAAATTTGATCGAAATCGGTTCAGATATAGCTATAGCTCCAATATATATTGTTCATCCGATTTGTTATTTTTGTCCTCCGCAGCCGTAAATATATCAAATTCAGTTCAGAAATACCTTTGCTAAATTTTATCGAGATCGGTTCAGATTTGGATATAGCTCTCATACATAACTTCGTCCGACTTACATTTTATTGTGCACCAAACGTCTAATATTTGCCCAAATGGGATGGAATTTGGCACATACGACCGAATTGAGTCTAGAAGCTAGTATACCAAATTTAGTGAAGATCGGTTCAGATATAGCTATAGCTCCCATATATATTGTTCATCCGATTTGTTGTATTTGTTACCCACAGCCATAATATGCACTCCGTAACAACTATATTCAGGAAAATATATCAAATACAGCCCAGAAATATCTTTGCCAAATTTAATCGAGATCGGTTCAGATTTGGATATAGCTCCCACATATGTCTTTATCTGATTTCAAATTAATTTTAAACCAAATGGACAATACAAGTCCGAATTTAAAAGATACAAATGCTTCGGCATATTTAGTCCTTTGAATTTTAAATTATAATTATAATCATAGCGTGTATGATTGAATTCTCCCATAAAAACTTTTAATTGTTATGTGGAGCTCAACTAAATTAACAAAGTGGTGTAGGGTATCATAAAATCGGCCCCGCCCGACTTTAGGACTTTCTTTACTGGTTTCTTATATTTTTTGATCATAATTTTATCGCATGAGATTTTTATACCATACACCACATGGGTATTATGGGTATTATGTCTTTGTGCGGTTGTTTGTTACTTTTGAGGATCTTCTGCCCGTCCATATATTCTTGTGAACAGAATATAGGTATTTATTATCCGATTGAGATGAAATTTTCCAAACAATATTTGTTTGGCCCAAGGACGAACCCTATTGAAATTGGTGATAATCGGATCAGATTTGAATATTGCTCCCATACATCTTCAACCGATTTCGGGTTAATTGTGCACCAAATGGCTAATATATGCCCAAATTACCTGTATTTTAGCACATGCCACCGATTTCAGTTTAGGAGCAAATAATTCAAATTTGGAGAATTTGAAGAAAATCGGTTTATATATAGTTATAGCTTCCATAGATATGTTTCATCTGATTTCAAGTCCCTCACATGCTTAATATTCATTTCAGAAAAATGATATTTGGTATCGGACATCAGATACTGCTCGAAAATATCTCTGTCAAATTTTATCAACATCTGTTCAGATTAGGATATAACTCCCAGATATGTCTTTATTCGATATCAGGTTTATCATGCACCAAATGGCTAATATCAGCCCAAAGAGCCTGAATTTTTGCAATTACCATGAATTTATCCTATAAACCAGCACTTCAAATTTGGTGTAAATCAGTTCAGATATAGCTTTAGCTCCCATATTACCCGATTTGGGGTTTAAAGTCCCTCACAAGCGTAATATGTGTTCCACAACAGTGATTTTTAGTATCAGATAACAGATACAGCTCCGAAATAAGTGTATCAAATTTTGTCAAGATCGGTTCAAATTTCGATATATATCCATATATATCCTCAACCGATTTCGGGTTAATTGCCAATATCAGTCCAAATGAGCTGAATTTTGGCATATCCGGCCGAATTCAGTCTAGAATCAAGTACTTTAAATTTGGTGAAAATCGGTTCAGATATAGCTATATCTCCCAAATATGTGTTTCATCTGATCTGGTGTTTAAGACCCTCGTAATATGCATTCGACAACAATGATATTTGGTACCAGATATCAGATACAGGTTAGAAATGCCTCTGCCAAATTTTATCATGATCAAGATTGCAACACTATATGTTTGGAGGTGTTATGTTCATGTAGCATATTATGTTGCATGATGGTAGGGTTATGGTCAGAATTGAAGCCTTTTGTTTTTGAAGATATGTATTTAGGGGTTCAAATAGACCAAAAGACTAGAAACTGTCTAGCTTTTGCAGCTCTACAGTTCTCAACTAAGGACCAATAGACATGAAATTTTTTATGAAGTTAGAGCTTTGGACAGCGTTTTAGATGATCGCATCGTGACATGTAATAAAAAAATCAGAAATACATGAAAGGCGCATCTCAGACCTTCAGATTGATGCAACAAATTCGATCATAAATTGTGAATTAAGCCTTAAATTTTCTTCAAATTTTACTATCTCAAAATTTTTACTAATAAATAGACAGCCCACCCCTTGTTGCTACCTTTCCCGCAAAGGCTCAATAATTATATTTCTTAAAATTTGCAAAACAAGACTGATATTCTTTGAGTATCTAAATCTTTCTCTCAATTTGATGTGAATATGGATTATATCGGCCACTGCTTCTCGTATTTTCGCCACAAAAGCTTCATTTTTGAATAACAATTATTCGCATAAATTGGAAATAAATGTTCAATTTTGTTAAATTTGTATTACTATTAGACGAATTGGAACACGTCGGTCCACTATATCTGGAAAAATCATTTCAATCTTTTTCATAAATAATTTTAGCCACATTTTTAAATGGAATTGTCTTAAACGAGTCCCTTGTGAGTACTTTACTCCCTGAAAGAGAATTGTATATATAGGTCCACTATATAGTATATCCCCCATATAAAGGTACCTCCCGATATTCGGTATTTTGATGATTTTAGCCACATTTTTCAATGAAATTGAGTTATTTGTAAGCACTTTATCTCCTGAAAGGGAATTGTCTATATAGATCCACAATATCGTATATCCGCCATATAACGGTACCCCCGATATTCGGGATTTTGATGATTTTTACCAATGGAATTATCTTAAAATCCACACGAGGAATTCCTTGTGAGTACTTTATCCCTTAAAAGATAATTATCTATATAGGTCCACGATATCATGTAGCACCCCTATAACGGTACTCCCCCACATTCGGTATTTTGATGATTATAACCACATTTTTCAACGGAATTCTACACTAGAAGTTCTTTGTGAGTACTTTGCCCCGGACATGCATGTGTCTATATAGGTCCACAATATCGTATATCCCACCATATATCGGGAACTTCAGATTTTGGGTATTTTAAAGGTTTTAACAAAATTTTTAATGGATTTTATTTCTTTGAATTTTCTAATTCGTTTCAAATGTTGGAGAGTATACAAAGTTCGGCCCGGCCGCTTTTGCTTTTTTACTTGTTTTTCGTGGGCTGTACTACCTGTTACGAACTTCGAATACCAAATTTGAAACAATTTGGGTAAATAATGTCTCTAAGATCACCAAAATGCCGAATATCGGGAGGTATCGTTATATGGGGCCTATACTAAAACGTGGATCGACATGGCCCATTTACGAACTTAACCTGCCTACTGGCAAGGTACACATGTGTGCAAAATTTTTGCCTTTTATCTCAATTGGTTTGAAAGATGGTGTGATTACAGCAGACTGACGGACATCTCTAAACTGTCTTTTACGCAGTTCTAGAATATATATACTTCATAGGGTCTATCATGAATATTTCTAGGAGTTACAAACGGAATGACAAATCTAATATACCCACCATAGAATGGGGTGGGTATAAAAAGTATGGGAACACAACTATTATTTCAAAGCTCAATATTAAATAAATTTGCCTACAGTTGATTCAGATAAATGTTTGAGATGAAATCAAAGTTCTAAGAAAAACGTTGAAATTATTACTAGTAATAGGTCTCGAATCACCCCAAGTGCATTTAGTTACAGCTCTTACAAATTCACAACAGATCTACTATACCATATCACTTCATCGATTGATTAGGTGTCGGAAATATGTTTTATGTGTGGGAGGTAAGGTTTTGTCGTAAATGACCTTGAAACTATCGAAACTAGTCCATAATTACATTTTCATGTCACATCAAGTCAGTTGGAAGCCAAATTCACACACACACTTTAATTATGCTACGCACATAGCTCTGGCAACAATGATTTCCACAACACCCACATCGCTATCACCTATCTATCGCTCCCGCTCGATCATCCGTATCTATGCATAGCGAAGTTATGCATTTGGGTCACTTTTATGATTGGTTCACTGTAAATGCTGCCGACTCGACCCATTGAAGTCAATTGAAATTTGAATCAGCTATCCTGCAGAAAGATATTGACCAAATATATTCAAGCATTTTTTCTGCTATTTAAATGCAAAGTTTTGACGAATTAGACATCAGTTTAGTGTTTGACATCAAACAAAGCATAGAAAACGAAAAATTGTTTATATTAAAACGTGTGGAATTAAAAGTGTAATTTTTATGATGAAGGTGCGAAAAGATTTGAAATACTTTGAAAGGATTTTATAACTCAAAATATATTCCATTGCCCTCAAGGTATTTGCTTGCGTTTTGGCTTTGGCGGTGGCTTCTGCCCACGCCGGACTCCTGCCCCATATTGGTGATGGTCACATTGTAGATCACGGTGTTGTACATCATGGTGCTGATTTATTCCATGGCGACCTTCATCACAATGATGGTATTCAGGTGGGCTATTCATATGACCTTCCAGTGGAGGCACATCATGCTGTTGTAGACCATCACGCTTTGGATAACCATGCCGTCATTGATCATCACGGCCTTGACCATCATACCGTTGTTGATCATCATGCTGTTGAACACCATCCCGTTTACCACCATGCCGATCATCATGCCGCTGTAGATGTTGTGACCCACGATGCTGGCCATCATGGTGTTGCTGCTTCAGATGTTCAAAATGCCCCTGCCGACCAAGTCATCCAACACGAACCCATTCATCAGGTTGAACCCGTTCATCATGTCACCAATGTTGTACATCACGAACCCCATCACTTCCTGCACTACACCAATCCCGTTGTTGATCACCATGTTGTCCATCAAAACCATCACATCGACGAGCATCATCATGCTGCCGATTTGCATCATACCGAGTTGCACCAAGGAGATGTTGCTCATCAGGGAAATTTTGTTAACCACGTTGACGTCCTTCATCACGGAGATGTTCATCATGATGATATCGTCCTTCACGGTGATGTTTATCATGCTGGTGTCCACCATGCCGATGTTCTCCGTCATGCCGGCGTTCATCATGCCGATGTTTTGCACCATGCCGGTGTCCACCACGCCGATGTTCTTCATCACGATGATGTTCTCCACCATGGTCATGATAATCATGCCGCTGTTATCTATCACGCCAATGTTCATGAACATGCCGCTTTGGTACATCACGTTAAGCCCGTCTACCATCATCACAGCCATGGTGTTGTTGTGCGTAAAGTTTACCCCTCCAAATACCACGGTCATTTCATTAGCAAAATTCCAAAAGTGAAGGTTCTTAAGAAATTCTACTAAATGTTCTTAAATTTGACCAAAGATTAATTCAATGCATTTGATACCAAAAAAGGCAAATGGCGTACCAATGTTCTTATCATTATTATTTTAAATTATTGAAATTCCTTCATACGATTTAGAGCACATCTTCTCATTCGATTCAATAGTTTAGAGATTAAGTGTCACATCCCTATAAAGTTAATAAAACATCCTATTTAAATTATTAAAATTTATTTTATTTTGTTCATATCAGGCATAGCAATATGTTCTCCAATTTTTTTTTTTCAAAATAATTATATTGAAAATCATCTACATATTGGTCGGTCTTGTTGGCAAATATATCAAATATTTGGTAGACACATGTGTCACTTTCGCCACTACTAGTAAAAATAAGTACATACCCTCTGCAATGCCAATAAGCTTAGCAGTAATGAGTTATTTACTGAGGCAAGGCAAAATAACTTATTTTTATTTTACCATGTAATGAGTAACGCCACAAATGAGGTTAATTCAGGGCAGTATTCTATGTCTCTGAAAGTTAGCTTAGACATTTATACTACTTCTAATATGTTTGGTTTTGAAAATGGGACATATTGGTCCACGTTTCGGTCTGGACCCCAGATAGCGCTACAACCTGCTTTAAGTTAAGAACTGACAGAATCTCTCCCTGTTAAATGTTGTGAAAACAAGTCCACTATTATATATAGGCCCATATAACAGGTCCGTTACGATAAATTTAACAGAGAAAATAACATAGCTATGTTAACTTAACAGAGCTACATAAAAATTGTTGTTCCTTAATATTTTTGTTTTTTAATTACTTATCGTATAAAAACGCTAACAAAATGCATTATATAATCATAATTAAATTATATTCCAAAGATTGTAAGGCAACATACACCCATTACTTGTAGCACAATACTATGTGCCAAGACAAGTTTACACCAAACTGTGCCTTCCAAGACAATTCTGTCGGTACAATATGGGTATCTACGGAAAGCTTAGGAAGTCTACTATCAATTGGCATTGACAAAATTATAGAAGGTCTGGCCAATTTCGAGGTATATGGTTATTTCTGGAGGTATCCTTGGAACAGGATAACTCCATTGGTCAATATGCCTTCCAGGACAATTCTGCCGGCACAATATGGATACTTACGGAAAGCTTATGAAGTCTACTATCCATTGGCATTAACAAAATTATAGGAAGGTAAGGCCAGTTCCGAGGTATATGGTCATTTTTGGAGGTATCCTTGGAACACGATAACTCAATTGGCCAATACGCCTTCCAGGACAATTCTGCAGGAACAATATGGGTACCTACGGAAAGCTTATGAAGTCTACTATCCACTGGCATTAACAAAATTATAGGAAGGTCCGTCCAGTTCCGAGGTATATGGTCATTTCTGGAGGTATCCTTGGAACAGGATAACTCCATTGGCCAATATGCCTTCCAGGACAATTCTGCCCACAATATGGGTATCTACGAAAAGCTTATGAAGTCTACTATCCATTGGCATTAACAAAATTATAGGAAGGTCCATACCCATATTGTACCGGCAGAATTTTCCTGGAAGGCACAGTTTGGTGTAAACTTGTCTTGGCACATAGTATTGTGCTACAAGTAATGGGTGTATGTTGCCTTACAATCTTTGGAATATAATTTAATTATGATTATATAATGCATTTTGTTAGCGTTTTTATACGATAAGTAATTAAAAATCAAAAATATTAAGGGAAAACTATTTTTATGTAGCCCTGTTAAGTTAACATAGCTATGTTTTTTCTCTGTTAAATTCCTGGCTCTAGTTAAGTTCGGAATTTATCGTAACGGACCTCCATATAACGGTCCTTCCTAATCTTAGGTTTCCGAAAAGCTTTCTTCAAACTTATTATTTAGTATTTTGTTTCTCAGAGATGTAGGTTCGCCGGGTCGAACTTTTAATACACACCACACCACAAAAAAAAAAAAAAAAAAACAAAAAAACCAAAAATAAAACGCGTTAAAAATAGCGAATGTAGCCATTAATTAGGGTCCATAATAATGTATCTAAAATCATCAAAATACCAAATATATATATACAGGGGCAGATGAAAAATCTGCAACAAACTTCAGACTGCTGTCATTTCTAAGCCACTCGTCCGCCAACTTTTAACATTATTCCAATGACATTTTAGTGCATTTTTCCAGAAAAAAGTTATTCCTGATTGAATTCAAGCGTGATAGCGTGATTTCTTTACATTTGGCTGGAAACTCGTACTATCGCTTGTTACTGTGATACTGGTAGCGTAGCCCGACATCAAGGAAGTGGATGGAAGAAAACAGCAACATCAGCAGAAATGGTTCGAAAAGTAAAGAAGCAACTTGATCGAAACCCGCGTCACAGTGGCCGAAAAATGTCTCGTGAGCTGAACATATCGCAATATTTTATTCGGCAAATATTGAAAAATGAGATCTGGGTAAAGTCATTGAAATTCCAAAAAGTGCAAGACACCGCAACGGAAAGAAAATAGACTCAAAAGAGCTAAAGAGTTGCTTCGCTTGGCCGTAAGTGGTGAACCGCCGAATTTGGTTTTCTCCGATGAGAAAGCATTCGTTTTCCAGCAGTTTGCAACGGTGTGTGACGGTTTCATTGGTCGTTTGAAGGCCATAATTCGTGCCAAAGGTGACCAATTCGAACAAATCTAAACTTTTTTTTATTCAATAAAATTAAAAAAAAAATGTAATAATTATGGCGTTTGACTTTGTTGCAGTTTTTTTGTCTCACCCTGTATATTACCCCTGGTATGTTTGGTATTGAAAATAGGATATATCGGTCCACGTTTCAATATGAATCCCACATAGCGCTACTTCCTGCTTTGAGTTATGAGCTGAAAGAATCTCTCCCTGCAAAATGTTGTGAAAATAATTGCAGTATTATATATAGGCCCAATATAACGGTACTTCTAATTTCAGGTATTTTGTGGGTTTCCGAATGTTTTGTTTACAGACTTATTATTCGGTATCTTGCAGGTCTCTGTGGAACCCAATGCGGTTAGATCCCCAAAAACAGAGATAAATTCAAAGGATGCATTACTTTGGTCTAATTCATATATTTGCTTAATTTTCTAATCTTAATCTGCAAAAATTAGCAAAATTTCTCTTAAGCCAAAAAAAAGTGTTCTTTAAAAAACTGTCATTAAGCTGAATTCAAAAATACTACATATTTTATGAGAGAGGAATCTATATCTATAAAAGAGGAAAATGTTTGTACGTTTGTTTGTTTGTTTGTTTGTTTGTAATTTATGGACTCGAAAACTGCTGAATAGATTTTTCTGAAAATTTCCATATATACTGCAACATCGCCTGAAAGTAACATAGGCTATATACATTTTTGAATTTCCACTTGGAACTGGAGATATAGCATCAGAGTCGGAGGTACCTCCCAAAAATTTAGATTTTATATGCACATATCTATTGATCGGTTAAAGACACAGTCTCCAAATTTGGAATGTATAACGGAATTTGGAACAAAAATAAGTTTGCTAAATTATATTGTAATCGGTTCAGATTTGGATATAGCTCCCATATATATTTTCGACCGATTTCGTTCATTTGATGCCTCAAACACAATATGAATGTTCGATTCCAATGAAATTTGGAATATGTGACGGGATTTGATCCGAAAATAAATTTGTCAAATTATATTGAAATCGGTTCAGATTTGGATATAGCTCCCATATATATTTTCGGCCGATTTCAAGCATTTGATGCACCAAACACGCTATGTATCCCCAATTTCAATGAAATTTGAAACGTGTGATAGATTTTATCTAAAAAAATTTATTTCCCAAATTATATTGAAATCGGTTCAGATTTGGATATAGCTCCCATATACATTTTCGGCCGATTTCATGTATTTGGTGGACCAAACAAGATATGTATATCCAAATTTAATGAAATTTAACATAAGTAACGGAATCGGGAGCAAAAACGAATTTTTCAAATTATATTGAAATCGGTTCAGATTTGGATATAGCTCCCATATATATTTTCGACCGATTTCATGTATTTGATGCACCAAACACGCTATGTATCTCTAATTTCAATGAAATTTGAAATGTGTAGCGGAAATTAAAACAAATATACATTTGTCAAATTATATTAAAATCGGTTCAGATTTGGATATAGCTCTCATATATATTTTCGACCGATTTCATGTATTTTATGCACCATACACGATATCTATGTTCGATTCCAAAGAAATTTGGAATATGTAACGGGATTTTGATTAGAAAATAAATTAGTCAAATTATATTAAAATCGGTTCAGATTTAGATATAGCTCCCACATATATTATCCGCCGATTTCACATATTTGATGCACATTTGACAAATAATATTCAAATACGCTCAGATGTGATTATAGCTCCATATATATACTCAGCCGATTTCACATATTTGATGCACCCAGAGCGAGAGAGACAAAATCTGGCACCAGCAAAAATTGCCAAATTATATTGAAATCAGTTGAGGTTTGGATATAGCTAACATATATATTTCGGCCGATTTCATACATATTATGCACCAAACACGATATATATGACCGATTCCAATGAAATTCAGAATGTGTGGCGGAATTTGGTTATAATAATATATGTGATAAATTAATTGGAAATTAGTGAAGATTTGGATATAGCTTGCATATGTATATTCTCGGCCGATTTCACATATTTGACGCACCAATTTCAATGAAATATGAAAGGTGTGGCGGAGTTTGGTGTAAAAGTAATTTTTTTAAAAATATTTTTAAATCGGATCAGATTGGGATATGATTTTAATAAGAACCATTGACCCACAACGCCTTAGGCTAACACTAAAAAACAACACAACAATTTATTTGAAATACGCTTATTACGGCGAAGTATATTGCTATCTCGAATTCACTAATTGCAATAGAAATGCCACTCTACTTAAAAAATTGCAGTTTCCTGCACGCTTGGTATTTGCTATGAAATAAATAAATCCAAAGGACAAACCCTTCGTGTATGCATGTCATGTTACTGCTTTTGTAATGATTTTGTTTA